GGATTGGAGGGGCGTCGAGTAGCGAGGAACGAGAGGTGCGACCATACCTTTTGATAAAAGTGCAATTCGTCGTACCAGAGTGATGGCTGACTAACCAACGTGTCACCCCTCCTGTTGTCGATTACGGAGAGTCATCCACAATCCTTCTGTTCTCGCTACTAGGAATGCAGCAGAGCAATTGCAACCACACCTGGATTAAAGCATATTCCTGTATATCCTACATGTTTGGTGGCCAAGAAACAGTTTCGCTACTTCCAAACCCTACGATTGATAGAGCAATCAGATATTATGTCATATATTTGTTTATTACTCTTAGACAGTGCGCAGTCAGTCACGATTTTTGAGGATATGAGCGGTTTCTCTTACTGGACTGGATTCATTTTTTTGCTGACCCAAAAACAGAATTATTTGAGAAGACCTCGTCCATAATATGCAAAGTTTTGAGCTAACTATGAGTAAGAAACCTCATAAAATTTGCTTAATTAACACGATAACATGATAAACACGATTGAAGGCATCTGTGGGCAAACGAACAGTCACTACTGACCGGTGGTAGATAAAAATTCATATCCTTCATTAGATACGGCATCAGAGAAAGACAAGAAAATCCGCTGCTGCAAAAATTGGCTATTGGGAAAAGTGTCAACCAACGCCGCTCAATGAAGATTACATCGAGAAAGAAGAAGTTTGATTCGAGCATCAGCATGAGAAACTTGTTTCAGAATTTAGTGAAAAGTTAAGTAACATAAATCTGGATAGGAATCTTACATTTATGCACGTCATTACAGGCAAACCTGAAAGACAGGATCAGAGGTGCGTGGTGATGAACCTCATTCGTCGTTCAGCATTTGATTCTGTTCAAACCGACTACATGACATCGAAGATGCAAAGGATAATGCAGTGATGAAAGGCCAAAGACCAGTACAGCTGTAATACTGATTAATATTAACGACGAGTGGTTATTAACTTAATCAATGCCATTACTGCTTGGCGCAGCGGCTTCAGGCAGAACGATTCATTAGCAGCGAAATAAATGTATTCATAATACCGATCGTTTCAGGAAGTGATGAATGGTAAACCAGTGCTAATGATCTGTCAGGTCAGCACCTGCAAGTGACGTCCAAACTTTCTCAGCTTAGACGTAACTAGCTCAGGACTGGGCAGCTGAAGCGAAACGGAGCCGGAAAGCCAGGGTCGTAGAACGCAAGGATAACTAATAGTGGAAGTGAGAGTAACCTTTCGTACGGCTCATATTATAGGCTTCTTCTTGTTTTTCTTATTTTTCTCTATTTTCTTCATCACTTTCGTTATTCTTCGACTAGGTCTGCGTTGTGCCACCAACCCTCCAAGATCCAAGTTAGCGGAACTTTGTCACAGGGATTCCATAAGACCTCCGCCTCGCAGAATTTAACCTCGTCGTTGCTTGTGACTCAGAATTCGGTAGCTGCGGAGCATAGCGTCTAGGGCGCTCCTCATGAAGAACTTGATGGGGCACTGAACCACAAGATTGGACCTGAGTGGAGGTTGCCCTCATTTTCATTGGGTCTAGAATTCAATCTCGTCCTCTTAGTGTCTTCTTCTTCATTTTCTAGTAGGAAAGAGAACTGGTAACAATGAATGTGAATATATCATCATAATGTTGATTCTAGTTAACTTTTCAGTGGGTCGGTAGTTAACTCACAGAATCAGCTACTCTCTAACACGGACGTCATACGTAGCAATGCGTCAAGGGCTACCTCATAGCTCTGAGAAAGAGTGCTGCTGTCATCCCCAAGCGCAGTTCTGAAATAGAGAGCTTGTAGCAGTGGACGACTACTTTAATTGGGCATCAATCAAGGACTATAACTAAACTTAATGCTCGTACTTGATTAGAAGCAAGGTGACAATACGCTCATACTACTCATTCCAGGCTTTATTTAAAGTGGTAGGTTTGCTAACTATGATACTCACTTGCCCCAGTGAATCGAAGTTAGAGGTAAATATGCATCAAAGATTGCCTTGAACACCGAGGGAAAAGCAAAATCTTCAATTCAGCAATGAAAAGTTAGTGGTATATGGAGAATATACCGCTTGTACCGCCATCCAAGCGATCTTGACTGCTAACGATGGGTGTTATTAAGTCCAGCTAGTTCGAGCGCATATAAATGCCATAGATCCCTTAGAGACCTCTCTCTCAGCAATAGTAGCTGTATGAGATTATGCTGCTGAATGCTTACCCTGGTAGAAAATGATGGTTGACTGTGGAGGAATGATCTGTACACAAGAACTGACAAAGAACGACTCGACTTGATGAGCTCGATCCGTCTTAGATTACTGAAGCCTAATGTGATCATTAAAATCAGTCTACTAAAGGCCTCATGGTTAATCTTGAGAAAGGGCAGCATGATGATTTATCACGTTCACCTCAAGGACACATAAAACAAATTTCATTTCTGCTATACGATCGTTGATATTGACCTGGACATAGCTACAAGAAGATTACCAGTCTCGGCGATTTTCGCTCATTAGCAGTCACTTTCCAGTTAATCGTTGTACTGATTAGACAATTTTGGAGAATTACTTTCCATGTATCTTTCCTTCGTAAATATCCTTGCCAAGACACCATGGCTTTTGGTCCTCGTCCTACAAGGATCGAGTGATGAAAATTACGGCAATTTGAATACGAAGTTGATATGGATATTAAAGGATAGGTCATAGGGCAGACGAATTGTTTTATCAGGCTATACGGAAAGCGTCAAGAGATAGACGGAATGTCAGAGGGCTCCATCATGTTGAGGATATTGCATTTTTGCGCCTTTAAATCAGCAAGCACGGCAGAAAAAACAGAAATACCCGTTACCGAAAGCAATGTGGTACATTGAAAACGAATGAATGACTCTTTCCTTGATATTTATATGCACATTAATTTTGCACATTATATGCCTCTGTGCCACATGTGAATATATGCAGCCGTATTGTAAAATTGAAGCAATTAACAGACTTCTCTAGAATGTTACAACAGAAATGCCATTAGATGGATGCATTTAATCCAGTGTTTCTGGCTGCTAACCATATGAAGTGTCCCCAGGTTGCGGAGAACGGAACGACCTGGAGATATGGAAATTAGCTGAGTTAGATCAGCAGTCGCAGACAGGCAGGGGTGTGACCACCAGCGTATTCCTGGGTTCGAGCTGGACAAGTTCGATCCTCAGAGAAAAAGTCAAAATGACTAATGACAGATTTTTACTGAGGCGAAAGCGACTCGCTCTTTTAAAGAAAATCGGTCGCCGATGAAACCGTGGCCTTGTGATTAGATGTCGGTTCATCAACGGCTAGAAGAAGCAAGTTCGATAAATAAAACAGAAGAGTTGGGGATCCCGTCTGTACGAAATTGCCCAGTCATCCGTGAGCCCCGCCAACCGATGGCAAAACTTCATGCGCCATGACAACAACATCTAAATGGGTTTCAGTACCCTGGGCGTCTTTCGACCCGTTCCATTGCAAGGGTTCGGTGTTCGACTAAAGAGAGACCGCTATAGATTCCTGGTGAAATGCCGCTATCTGGTAAACGGGCCCGGACTTCCTTACTGACCGCTTGATCCACAACTGTAGAACACTTTCGAGGGAAGAAGCTTCAAACTAACTGATGGGCAAAACGTAACAATTGCCTATAACTGCCTTTGGTTTCTGATAGACATAACAGCGGAAGGAGATATATGGCATATCGAAAGACCATTGTTCGTTCGGTTAGGAAGAGTAATAGGTGTTAAGTACATCGGAGGAGTTGGGTGTGTAGTCAGAAAAAACTGGCATTCCAAAATCGTATCCTTCCCTCTGAACTCACCAAGACTGGCTGTGGTGCGCTTCCAACTGTAAAGATCTTGAAGGAAACCATGAACATTGTCCAAAACGATGACGATGACGAAATGAATAACTATATCAAGAGCTGGAACAGGGAATTG